ATTTGAAATGGACTGTGCATGCAAGAAATCCCTCAAACATCACACAGCTGAAAAAATTCTGCATGGAGGAGTGGGAAAAAATTCCTCCTAGTTGACATCAGAGACTGGGAGATGGTTATAAGAAATGCCTACTTGAGGTTGTTTCTGCCACAGGGAACAATACCAGATATTAGAGCCAAGGGTGTCCTTACTTTTTGCACAGAAGGAAATGGTGTATCTATTAATTTTTTGTTAAATGAATGATTGCAATTTGTCATAGGTGTTTTTTTTTGTTCAATTACATCACTTTTGTCTTTATATACTCTTTGAATGAAAATAAAATATTGATATGTTCACATATGTTAAAAAAGAAAACAAATTACATGGGGTTTACTTTTTCACATGATGGTACCTGCCACAGAACAAAGCTATAATTTCATAGTTACAACCTCATAGAAATGGCTGGTGAAATAGCAGTAGAACCACTACAGTTTTTTTTTTCCTGATTTCCCAACCAGTGTGATCATAATGGTATCAAAAGTAGCTGAAAGGTCCAAGAGTTTCAACAGGATGACCAATGTGGTTTTTAGAATCATAGAGCTGGAAGAAGGAGCTGTTTAGGCCAGTAAGTCCTGCTCAGGGCCAAAGTAACAAAATAGCCTTGAAATTGCCTAGAAAAATAGTTCCATCCCAAAGTGTCTGGAACTGGCCTGCAACCATTGTAAAGCAACTCACCCAACAAGGAAATATTACTAGTCAGCCTGTAGTTATTCATTATTCTTTAATTGTGATCTCTCTGCTTCACACACATGGGTTCAGAATCATTATCAGGATTTCTATAGCTGATGTTCATCACATGCCAAAAGGTGCAGCTCTCCCTCGCTCCCCAAGTTCTTTTTCACCCATCTCAGCAGTCACATCTTTGGGAATTCTTGTATTTGGAGCTGAGTCTTTTTTTATCACTTTGCTTCTCTTCCATCCTTTGCTTTTTTCCTTCACTCCCACCTAGCTGTCAGTATCACAGCTAGTCACTGTGACATTCAGTAACAAAAAGGGCCTTTGTATTTGGAGCTGAGTCTTTTTTTATCACTTTGCTTCTCTTCCATCCTTTGCTTTTTTCCTTCACTCCCACCTAGCTGTCAGTATCACAGCTAGTCACTGTGACATTCAGTAACAAAAAGGGCCTTTGTATTTGGAGCTGAGTCTTTTTTTATCACTTTGCTTCTCTTCCATCCTTTGCTTTTTTCCTTCACTCCCACCTAGCATTCAGTATCACAGCTAGTCAAAAGGTGCAGCTCTCCCTCGCTCCCCAAGTTCTTTTTCACCCATCTCAGCAGTCACATCTTTGGGAATTCTTGTATTTGTAGCTGAGTCTTTTTTTATCACTTTGCTTCTCTTCCATCCTTTGCTTTTTTCCTTCACTCCCACCTAGCATTCAGTATCACAGCTAGTCACTGTGACATTCAGTAACAAAAAGGGCCAAGCCCCTCAGTGATCCTTCCCTTGTTGCCTTTCAGAACCCTCCCTCCCTTTGAGACCAGAAAAGAAGTCACAAAAGACATTGAGAACAATGTTTTTTAAAAAAGGCATTGCTCCAAGAGTAGCCTTAACATCTCTGGTTTCAGCTGTGGCTCCATCACATATAATATCAACTCAGACTCACTAAGATTACTACCAATTGCTAAACCAATTGATAAGACATTTTTCAGATTCATTGTTGCCTCCAGCACAGCTGGAACCATGGAGTCAGGAATCCACATCAAGAGGGGAAATAAGGGATCCTCCATGAAAATACACTCCCATACCCATTCTGGTGGCTATCCATGACAAACAATGATCCCTAATAACCCACTCTCATACAGCTTTGAACTTACATGCCACATGAGATTCCAGTAACAAAACTGAGGTGATTATTGTTCCTGTTCCTCCACCTTGCCATTATATGTGTGAAATCCCATCTTTCAAGTAGTGTTTTCAAAAGTGTAGGCACCCATTGCCCTACTAATTCTACTAAGGACATGAATGAACCTGAGTAAAAATGCAATTTGTTTTAGCATCCAACCCAAATTTGCCTATACAGTAGTGCATAGCCACAGAAAAGTTTCATATCCAGAGTCACATCAGTATAAAGTCCTTTTAATAATCGTATTGATTTTAGCTTGAAATGTGGCTAAATAGATTTTGAGTTAATATTCCAATAGCATTTCTAACAAGTAAGATGATTGCTTCTAATTCTTATTAAACATTATCTAAGGTGTCCAGTATACACAGAACAATTTTTATTCTGTTATCCTGGTTTTAAAATCAAACCAGTCTTAGCAGTCTTCTGTTGATTTATATGGATCAGGCATTCAAGCTCATTTTTCCAAATGTTAGATCAATAATGAAATGTATTTCATCAATTTTCTTCAGTTTCTTATAATATTAGGCTACTGATTTAAAAGTTGATTCCTTCAAAACCTCTAACCAGTGTGCAATGTTAGAAGCACCAATGGGATCAAATGGTCCAAATAACAGGTGTCAGTAAGGTAAATTTAAAACTAAGTTTTTAATTTTATCAGTTGATCTAAGTAATAGTATTATGAAATGGCCAGTTTATGCAGCAGTTTACTTTATATACATTTACTTAAAAAACTGTAATGGAGTAAAGAAATAAGACTCTAAATCATCTTTGTTTTCCTCTGGACCTGTTCTAATTTGTCAATATCTTTTAGGAAATATGGTACACAAGGCAGAGCAGAGAATAAGGACTTCATGCATTTCTGATATAGTGCTTCTTCTAATTCACCCCAAAACTGTGTTAGCCCTTCTCACACTGCTGGTTCATGTTCAGTTTGTTGTCAGTAATCACATCAAAATTCTTCTCCATGTTGAAGAAGATGATTTTGGTCCATTTAGCCCAGTCTTCTAATTATTCCAGATTAGACTACAATCTCATTTTTGTCATGCTGGGTGTTGGCAAGATCTCCCTATTTTGTGTCTTCTACAAATTTGATAAGCAGTTCATCAATCCTGTTATCCAGGTCATTAATGAAAACACTGAATAATATTCACTTTAAGAGAGATCCTTGCAAACCTAGTAGCTCATTGTTAACATAAAATCATCAGTGTTGACTCTTTGTGTGTGGTCAGCCAGCCAGTTGTGAACGCCCATTCAAACCACTCTTTAACAGCTTGTCAATGAGAATGTTATATGGAACCTTATCAAAAACTTTGCTAAAATTGAGGTAGATTATATCCCCAGCATACCCCTTGTCCACTAAAGTAGTTACCTTGGCAAAGAAGATGAGATGTGTCTTAAATGACCTATTTTTGACAAAAGTCATACTGACACACTCAAGCAATTTGTAGAGGATGGGGAGAATTTGGTATATGATTCTATGTGTGTTTGTGTGTGGGTGTGTATATAGTAGGTTAGGTTAATGACAGAATCCAGGGGCAGCAAAATAATAAGGAAAAGTAATTTATATCAGGAAATAATAAGATTAAGGTGGTTTAGGAAGGGTGGGATGTCATCATTTTGAACTCCCTGGAAGCATTGTGGAATAATAATAAGAGCATATTATAATGTGATATAATTGAAATCTTATTTTAAATATGTGAGGACTTTTGAAAGTCATTGCTTGGTTCTTTGCCTTTTAGGCCAGACCTACAGGCTCATCAAGCAAAATCCAGAGACAAACCAGCCTATCTCATTACACGAACCGTGGAAACACAGACAGATTATCGGGATGGTGAAGCTCAGACAGATCCCTATAGCCCTGAATACATAGCACCTTCGGGTTCAATACCTGAATTGTTAACTCTTGCCACGCTGACTTGGGGTGAGTTCAAGAAATGATAAGTATATGAGGGACACAAGGTAAATTATTTTCTGTAATGTAGTTATGTTCCCATGTGACACAGACTTTCATACCTTTGGCTTCCAAAGAAGAATCACCCTCAGTTATCTATTACCAGAGCACTTAAAACTTTTAGCAATTCCAACAATGCCAGGCTGCTTACAAAGTTGATTGATTTAATGTGTTATGAGCTCCATCCCTATTTGCCTGTCTCCCATCCTGCTGATCATTCTCCTTTCATTTACCATTTACTAGCTGAGTAGTAAAATTATAGAAAAATTATGGAAGCAGGTAGAGATTTTAAGAAGAATCGCATCCTACACCATTGCAGCAGAAACAAAAGTAGTCTCTGCTGCTGATCCATCTGTCTGAATAGACTGCTGGCTGAAAGAAAAAGCACAGCTCCCAAATGCTTGTATAGCTGATCTGTTGTGGAGTCTCACAAACCTACACCCACATAAACTCTGATTTTTTGTCTTTGTGTACATGTACACACACAAGATCAGTTTTACCTACCAAAATTTGCATACTGTCATCTGAGGTATAAAACTCTGTTCTACAATTAAGTATCTTCATCAGTGCATACACTTAGTCATCTTAAGGGTAGAGACTGTCTGGTTTTCCCAGCTTGTGTCTGTGTTTTACGCCTAATCTTGAACCCTACTCTCCTCCATTTCTTCTTCTTCTTTTTTCTTTTAAGATGGCAGAAAGCGGATGAATGGTAATATGGGCTTGCTTTTTGGTGGTTGTTTTTGTATGTTAGAGATGGTTGCAGTTATGCGAGAGGTGTGCAGAGACAGCTGGTGTCGGAGCCTACCTGACCTACATTGGGCTTCTTTGGTGGAGAAGATTCAACCCTCACAATTCGCTTCCAAACTGGCACGGCTTGGATTGTGACTTGGGCTGTTGGCCGCGGAAGGAGAGAGCTGTGCTGGACACCAGTTCTTGCCTCGTCTCCCATGGACTGTTATCAAGAGTGGGAGCTGTGTCGGGATTGCATTAGGTGCGTGCCGGTTTCCGACGGCCGGCGCGTAGCTGCTGTTTTGGAGGCATTACCGGCGCTTTGCGGAGGAGGCCCTGCGTTTGGAGCGGCGCCGATTATTCGGCGGCCAGCAGCAGAGGCGTTTGGCTCTCGCGGATAGAGGCTGCAGCGTTGGGTCACCAAATTGCGGCGACAGCCGTGCGCTTCAGCGCGTGACGCTGAGGACTCGCGACGACGCGGCGCCCTGAGAAGGAGGGGTTTGATTCGGACTTTGTTTTGGACGACAGAAGGCCTCTGTGTGCTCTTTTGGCTGCTGCTTGGTAGGGGGCTAGCGGCAGCAGTTTTTTGCCTCAGTGCTGCTGTGGATCCCGCTGTGAATGGTTGGGGGACATCTCGTCTTCCCACCTACGCAGGAAAAGGACAGCGTGGTGACCATTTTGCGGTCCTTGATGCTGTTGCAAGGCTTATCACCCAGTGGCTTGTAACTGTGGGGGAGTGGTGGATGTGAGGTTACCTGTCCTTGTGTAAGAGTGGCTGCCCTTTCTCCGAGTAAGGACCGGGTGGGGGATAGTGTGTGTGTGGGGAGGGGGGGGTTGTTTGGATGGGTGGTGAGCTCGCCAGACCTGCCAGTGAGAAAGACTAGGTGGTGTGGGCTGTGTGGATTGTTGGCTGCTGAAGGGAGAGGGAGGCGGTTTGTTGGAATCCTTGTGGCGCCGAGAGTGAAGGCTGAAGCGCCCGAGGCTTCATTCATCCCTCCTTTGGTATGGTAATTAGAGTATGATGATGTGGGGATCCCCTGTCTTGAGTGCTGGACGGTATGGGTTGGAGGATGGTGAGATTTCCGGGAGCGGTTGGGACTGTCAAAATATTCCGGCGGTGACGGGTATGTGGAGGTATGGTGGGAGACGGGGCGAGCCGCTTGCACGGAACGCGCTCTCGGTCCTTGGTTCCGATTTCGCGTTCCAGCCCCCTGTACTCTACCCCATACCTGGTTAGCAGGTCCTTGGAGGCCCGGGCTTTTGGGTGTTGCTGCAGAACCCACGTGGGCTTGCAATAAAGCCCCCCTCCCTTCTCTGCCACTTGATTGCAGAGGCCCTGGTGCATATTATTGAGACCTGGCTCCATCCCGAAGCAGGGGTGGGGGGTGGGGCTACCCCTTTTGGAAATGTGTCCAGCCAGGTTTCGGGTGTGGCATCAACCCAGGACCCAGGGCAGGAGTGGGGGATTCCTGGATCAGGAGGCTCTACACTCAGTCACTCATGCCCTGGTCACCTGGATTACTGTAATGCACTGTATAGGGGGCTAGCTACCCTTGAAGAGTATTCAGAAGCTTCAATTGGTGCAAAATGCAGCAATGTGGGCAGATAAGTGTGCACCTAGATCTGCACGTTACACCTCTGCTCCATGAGCTACATTGGTTACCAATTTGCTTCCAGGTCCAATCCAGGGTGCTGGTAGCAACCTACATGGCATGGGGCCAGGTTATTTGAGGGACTGCCTTTCCCCAGTGACATCTGCCGTCCAGCAGAAGAGGCTTGTTACGGGTTCCATCCACTAGCGAATGTCATCTGGCGGGACCCAGGAGGAGGAGGGCCTTTTCTGCTGCTGCACCCACCCTATGGAACACCATTCCTCCTGGGGTCAGACTGGCCCTGACCTTGCTGGTCTTCCAGAAGGGCCTGAAGACCTGGCTTTGCCATCTGGCCTGGGGATCAGAGAGTGGTGTGGAGCCCATAAAATGGCTGTATTGTTCTTGAATGTTTGTGCTCTCCTGATGACTTTACTGTATGGCATTTAATTGTTTTTAATGTTTGTATTGTTTTGTATGGCTGTTTTACTTTTTTATTTTTTGGTATTGTTTATATTTTAATTGTAAGCCTCCCAGAATCACAAATGTGAGATGGGTGGCTATATAAATGGAATAAATAAATGAATAAATTTTCCATGAAGGACCCATGAGACTGTTTTGCCTTCATTCTGAATCTCTTACTAGTGGTGAGTAGTGGGGCCAGTTGCTCTGTTTTGAGAATTTGGAGAAAGAGGTACCACTTGTCTCCTGACAAAAATTTTTCAGTCTGTTTTCCTTCCCAAGCTGATGAGTGAAGAGTGAAACTCTATTGTAGAAAAAAAAATACAATTCTCAAGAAGCTCAGAATAGGCAACTTTCCTGCATACCATTTTGGCAGGAAATTTTTCTTATCTCTCAGTACCCTATGACTATGCAAGGGAACTCTTTATTTCAATTAATAACAGTACTGTAGCTTAGCATGTTGGCTTGCTCTTCAAGAGAAGGTCTGCTTAGAGGAAAATGAAACACCAGTCATGCTACAGTACTGTGTCTTTGGGAGTTGAGCTAAATGGTCAACTGGCTGAGGAAATAGCTTTGTTCATTCAGGACATTCAACTTCGGGTGCACTGCTGTACTTACATGGTCCACTAAAGAAATTCTGCATACAGAAAAGTGAAAGAACAAGTCAGCTAACTTCCTGCTCACAAGCCAGTTCCACCTCTATCTATTTATAGCTGAGTATATAGCTGGCTAAGAATAGCTTTGTTCATCCAAGCCATACTCATTGCAGGATTGCATTCCACTTTCAGTCCCTACTGATTTTCAGATCATCTTGGCTGCAGTGTTTAAGGGGTTTGTGACTTCATGTTCTTTCTCACCTATTCTTTAATAGAGGACAGGAGCATGAGTGCTGAATGGCTTTTCTACCAAGTGAAGCTAAAATGAAACATGTTCTCTCTTGATGGATGGGTCTGGTTAGAGATTTGAACAGTTAGCAGCTGACTAAGAGAAGAGAAGTAGTCCAGAACCCAACCATCCCTTTCCCAAGTCCCTGTGCATCGCTGAATGAGAGAATTCCATGTTTTCGTCATCCCACTTCTGTGAATTTTTTTAGTGATAACTCGCAGGGAGAGGGGATATTGCATACTGTACATGTGCTGCAAGTTCCTATTTCAGGCAATTGTGATACTTCCTGGTGAAATATAAGGGAATATGAAACTGTAGTGTCCTCCCAATTGTGATGCAATTATCTAGAGACTTAACAGCTGCTATTTGATATTCCATTTACTGTGTTCTGATTTACAAGCAGGAAATAGAAGAAAATTAAACTGCAATAATTTCCACTCTCCATCTGGTTCAGCTCTAACAATAGAAGAGTGTTATAGATTTTGGCTATTCTGGATAGTCCCTGTTTGTAAATTTCAGATTAATTCTAAAATAAAGGAGTGAGGCTTTTCCTGCCTGAGGACCATACCTAAATGGCATCTCAGAGAGCAAGTTCCAAAAAGAAGGCAAGGATAGGAGAAAGAAATTAGGGGATCGTATTTCACTTAATGATGTTATTATAACCTTATTGTGAACAGTATTATTGTTGTACACAACTCCTCTTCAGAAATTTTGCATAGAGCAAAGTGAAGCAGCAATGAAATATAATTCCCCTCCTGCAGCCTGTACTATTCATATCTTGAGTTGAATAACTGGATAAAAAAATTCCTTTTCTCCAGTACACTTAATTTCCAGGATATATGGCTTGCCCATGTAATCTGCTAGAAAATTCTATATAGTGATTGAGTTCTTAAAAAAGACTTAGTACCATCACAAAATTGGAACCTGCTCCAGCTCCCCGGAGTCATAAAAGTAGTCTCAGCTTCTATTAACAGGCTTGCAGCAATTCTTTAACTATGATTACTGGAGCCCTACTGGTGAATGTGCTGCCAAGCTCTTTTTTTTTCAGCCTAGCCAAGTGCAGAGCTCCGCTACAAAAATGCTACATTTTATTAAAAGTAGCTTGGATGAAGAAATGAAGAAAATCTTACCAAATTTGCAGGTGACACTAAAATATAGTATGCCTTTTACGTTAGAAGAAAAAACAAAATTCAAAATGTAGTTGGTTAGAGAAGTGGGCAAAGTTTACCACATGGAACAAATAAATGCAAAGGTATAAACTGCTTGGTAATGATATGTATGAAAAGGTTCTTAGAATTGTCGTTGATCTCCAGCTAAATATTAAGTCAGTGGTTTGATGTGATTTCAAGCAATCATCCAAATAACGTTTCCAGTTCTGGGCATTACACAATTCTGAAAAAAAATTGGTCAGGGCAATAATCACAATCAAAGGCCAGGTCAGTGAAGAAAGATTGAAAGAGCTGGGTGGATTTAGTGCTGAGAAAATATGACTCAGGGGATATGATGACACTCTTCAAATACCTGAAAAGATGCATATAGAAGCAGGTTGAGATATTTAAATTTAGAAAACAGGAAAAAGTCTAACAAGTGATCAGCAGAATAGGAACTTACCAAGAGAGTATAAGGAACTGGATTTGTTTATTTTTAAGAAAGAGCACTGGAAGAGAGAGATGATAGCACTTTTCAAAAACGAATAAAGCATAAAATAATGCTCTTGTGTTATAGGAAGGCAGATTCCAGTTTAATATTATAAAAAATGTACCAACAGTAAGAAGTATTTGACAAGGGAATGACTTATCAAATTAATTATCAAATGTGATAGTAAATGGGTGGATGCTTTATTTTGGATTCCTGCATTGAGGAAGGGATTAGATACGATGGCCTAAAATGGCCCCTTCTATTTATTTATTTTTCAAGGGGTAACTTCAGCTTTGATAGAATTTTGTATTACATTAGAACTTAAAATAATATTTTTATTTGTATGCCTCAAAATATTGAGTTATGGGTCTTCTACCTGTTTATTGTTTCCTGTTCTTTCAAGGTCATGGCCTTCCAGCAACACAGGCAGAAGTGGAGGTAATTGAACGAGCCAGAGAGAAACGTGCCTGGGAGGCCACCCTTCCACCATTGAATGATGCTGCGCACATAGCAAAACGGAGGAAAATGATGGAGGAAATGGAGAGAAAAGAGTGGGCCTTCCGGGAGGAAGAAATAGAAGAGTAGGCAGTTTTTATCTTCCTGTGTTCTTACTATGGTCCTTTGGAATCTGCAGACCTGGTAATGGGACAAAGCAGTGTCCAGAGGGAAAACTGTGCTATCTGAATAATTCTTTATCCCAACACTTCACAAAGTTCAACTCATGTACTTGGTCAGTGTACTGTATATCTGGTTTCTTGGATTTTTGATGGCCCCTTGGCTATATTCTGCTAAACTCAAGCACTAATGAATAATCAGAATGAAACATCTGTGGGACAGTACTTGATTATATCAATGAGCACTTTATAATATGAGTAAGCTTGTGAGTTTCTTAAAATTCTTCAAGCTAAACACTTAAAAGGAAGAAAGGAAATTTTGGCTGGTTAAGGTCCATAATACAGTTGCATTCTTAAATGCAGTAAGCAATAGGTAATGCAGTTTAAATGTTATCTAATGCATCATGGTAGAATATGGTGTTAACCTACAGAGTCCAGAGTCACTTTGTGTGAGATGGGTGGCTATATAAATGAGCCAAATAAATAAACTTACAAGAGCATTCTCTAAGGGTGTTTGTATACAAGCCTTTGCTTTTCTTAAGCTCCCATTTTTAAATACAAATTTCAGCAACTAAAATCCACACAGTTTTCAATGTATGTAAAGTTACTATTTCTGTTGGCTCTGTGTGTGTGTGTGTGTGTGCGCGCGCGCGCACATGCACACGCATGTGCTTTTGAGTCATTTTTTGTCTCCTGGTGACTGCCTGGACTAGTCCCTGCAGTTTTCTTGGCAAGATTTTTCAGAAGTGATTTGCCCTTGCCTGCTTCCTAGGGCTGAGAGAGAGTGACTGGCCCAAGGTCACCCAGCTGGCTTTGTACCTAGGACAGGATAGAACTCATAGTCTCCTGGTTTCTAGCCTGGTGCCTTAACCACTCCACCAAACTGGCTCTGGTTATTTCTCGTGGCTGTCAGAAACAGAAATCAGCTTAGCAGTCTTTATATTTGTAGGCCTGAAAATTAATCTGTTAGCTAGTATGAGTCAATCAAAACCAAACCCAATGATGATTATGAAAATACTATACTTTTTCATGTACAGTATTCACTGTTGAGATTGTATGTTATGCTATATAAAAATTCATAGGATTAGACCCTTAGCATAAGAGAGATTCACATCAAGCTATATGCAGTCTGCTAAATATGCATTATTCTATCAGGTGTTTAATGATCTGCCCTTGGGTTCTGCAGTCTCAGAAAACCAGGTTTTTTAAAGCTTTTGGCAATGCATGGTTGGTGCACTACAGTACTCTGGCCATTTGTTGTAGACATCTAAAATATGATTTAAGTGAAATGTATACCTTTCATTCAGCAGAGCAAGTTTTCAAAGTATTTTTTGCCATGAAAATACTTTAGAAATAGCTTGTCCTGTATAAACAGAGATATCAAGAGATAATCCTTCTCCAAGCTCATAGCCAGTGACAGGCTCTTCATAGCCAATGGATTGTATTTGGATTGGTAGGTCACATGTTGTGCAGGTGATTATAAGAAGGGTTTGATTCAGACATTCATATGATATGGAATGAAATATGGAGCGTACACCTGTAGTTATAACAAGACTACAGTTGGTATAAGCAAGTGGCAGCTTTATTCACATTAGGCTTGTGTGAACCCTCGGAGGGCATTTCACTTGGAGTCTTTGATATGGCTGTGCAATTTAAAGCAGTGCCTCATTTCTAAGCACCAGAGTAGAGCCACTGGGGTGTGTCAAAGCGATGACCTTGCTGGCTTTTCATGATAATCTGTACAAAAGGCATTTCTACTGAAGTAAAGAAACCAAGCAAATCTGCCTGCCTTGATATTTGTTTAGAGCTGTTGGAGAGAGCCTTGTTTCTCTGTATCATGTTGGCAGTTCTCTCCAAAATTAGAATCAAAGTAGTTTAGCACAGTTCTCTCCAAAATCAGAATCAAGTTTAGTCTAGTGGGCATGTATGTATGCTACAACTTCTTAATTATGAAAGAAGAAACTATCTTTAATTCATTATTTTGTTACACACTATTTCTAATACCAAGTGTTAGTACACTTTCAAATAAAGTTAATTCCTCTTGAGAATTAACTTTATATTTTCTACATAAAGAACTCAGGGTATTCTTTTTTACAGAAAAGGGATATAAAAATATTTATATTTATAACAAATGGACGTATATTTGCTTTTTTGAAGACTGCAAGAAGTGAGATTAAAGCTTCTAAAAGCCTTGCTGATGAAACGGGAAGAGAAGCGCAATGAATTAAATGTCAGTTGCTTAGATTCACACTGGTTTAAACTCATGCAAGAAAAAGAAAAGAAAGTGAAAAGGATTCAACATGAACACATAAAAGGTATAAAGGAAAAATACTATATAGTAAATATACTCTGAAGACAGCTGAGACTCCTAGCAATAGAAAGCTTGTTCAAATACAGAAAGAGAAAAAAAAATCACATCACTGTATAATTGACAGAGAACGGGCATGCTTCCATCTCTGGTAATAACAACCTTATTTGCAAGCATATTCCCTTGTCCTTTTGTTAGTTTTCATACCATTACTGTATAGCTGAAAAGAGCATGAGCACCTACAAAACCAATAAATCTTCCAAAACAAAATGAGGTTTCTTCTATACAAAGGGTCCAAGACGATATTGCAGTATTGAATGTTGAACACAACATCTTCAGCAATTAGCTGAGTCCCTTAATTTCTATCTGAAAAGATGCATAGATGCCCAGTATCCACAAAATAATCCCCGATTAGTATCCACAAAATAATTCCTAGTTCCTGATCATAATTTTGAACCTATAGAAATATGACTGTGGATGCCTAGATCATTTTTCATTGGCAAAAAGTCAAAGAATCTTAAAGTCTACAAATGCTTCATGTAGAGACATTTTTTTGTTGTTGTTCTGAAACTATTCTTCAACTAAATGGTATAACGCTAAGTACATGATAGAATGTCTGTCTTCAAAGCCAGCTGCTTCTTCTGCCAACTTATTCTCAGCACTAAATTAGTCTAATAACTTCCAGTATAGATGTCTGGCATAGATTATATCGATAACACCTAAAAGTCTGAAAGGACAATAATTGGTTAGAGCTGTCAGGCTTCCCCTTGGCCAGCATGACTTGATTGAAGCTTCAGAGAACTAATGCAACACAACATGGCTAGGACTGTATCTTTATGGTAATTCATGAACAGTAGCCATTACAGTTGACTGCATTTATAATTGCCTGTTTATATTCTCCACATTCATGCTCTGGGAAACTCTGGCTACTAACAAAAATGCAACAAAATCTTTCAGTATGCCATTCTTAACAAATGGAAATAATAATAGCCAAATCCCAGTCTTTGAGGTTATGAACAGGTCAACTGACATATTTAAAATGGGTGTAATTTTATCTGCAATTCCTTTACAGCAATCAGAAGACTAATAGCCAAGGGAAAAAATGTGGAGGGAAAACTGGAGAGAAGAAATGTAATTAAGGACTACACTGAATATGAATCACAGCCTTATGCTCCTTTATCAAGAATTGGTTACTTTCCAGATAATCATGCAGATCGTTATGCAGTGAGGAATTCTTTTCTCAACACCTACAAAGGTGAGTCATCCTAAGGAAATCTTCAGACACATTCATTAATTTCACTGTGTCCTACACCAAGCTGCCAATGTGGGAAATCAGATTCATATGCATTCTATGCTTGCTTGCTTGCTTGCTTGCTTTATTTATTTATATTTCAAATTTAGATACCGCCCATCTCACAAAAAGTGACTCTGGGCAGTTCACAGTAAAACAGCAATAAATATTAAAATACAATCAAACAATATAAAATACAGTAAAAATAGAATAAAAACCAAACACATACACAAATAATATCTTCCAAAATATTAGTTGGGTTCCTTTTGAAAAGGATGTTTTCTCTCCATTGAAACCAATAGAGATGTTCTTATGGATGAGGAAACTCCATTTATGAAGGGCCATCTTGGACAAAAGAGATTCGTTCTCTTATATCAACATTAAAACCTTCCTTCTACTCCCAATATTCACCTTCTATGTTTCTTAGGATTACTTGAACTGGAAGCATTTTTTCCTGATTCTGTTACACAGCCCCGAACTGAAGCTCCAAAACCCAAAAGCTTAACCACAAAAGATGGATTCACTAAACGGTCTGCTAGACTAGAGATGGAACTGGCACAGGTTTACCAGGTATTCTACTTCATGTGAGGCCATTTCAACTTTTGGTGCGTGGCATCTGTGATATCTATGGCCTTTGGTTTTGGGAATGTGACTTAAGTTGTACTAGGGAAGAAAAGGTACAGACTCAAAATATGCCAAATTGTCATTTATTGCTAGTTTTCAGAGTTACATTGTCTCCTGCTTTCACTCCATTTCTGTTTCATACTGTGCTTAAAAAAAGGAAAGAATTTATCTTATTTTCCCCAGTTTCTCTCTCCCCTCTCCAAATTCCTTTTTATTAGATTGTAACAATATAGGAAATTTCAAGGATCAGAAATGTTAAATGTTTTCTATAACTGCAATAAAATGTATGAACAAAGTGCATAGTAAATAAGAAAATGGAAATTGAGATGTGATGGTGTTTTGAGCTTATTAACCTTTTTTTAATGTAGCGGCCCATTAGCCATTGGCTGCTTTTTGATGCTATACTACTTTTCCAGATACTGCAAGACAGGAAACATCATATTAAAGAGCCACGCAAGCCACTACGTTTCCTTCAGAGGTTATCAAAGACTTTGGGTCACCCTCCCACTCCAGAATTGGAAATGGCTTCACTAGTAGGTGTAGTTTTGATTGTTTGTAAGAGCTTGGCCTAATTCTAAAAACGTTTATAGTTGGAAGCTATTACAGCAGATGGATGCAGATTAGAAGAACAGTAGATGAGATCATCAGCAAGTTTCACATCAGACATAAAATCAGGCTGACAAGGAAGGATTAAAGACAAATAGCAAAGGTGAAGCAATAGGGGGCCAGAAATACATGAAAGATTAAAGGCAAAAAAAGGTCACAACCTGAAAAGATGGCAACAGTAATTAGGAGGAAGATAGCTGGAGAGTAGGCATTTCTCATGCCATAGAGAGGATGCTCGAACCAAAAAAGCCAGCTTGGTCCATGGTCCCCTTGGTCCAAAGCGGAGTCCCAGCCCACCAAGAGTCAAAAATAGTATAATCCCCAAAACAGTGGACTTCTGAATGAAATCTAGTCTAGCTTGTTATATTTATGTTTTTTTATTGCTGCCTCTTTTTCTTTCCAATCTCTGAATTTCCCCCACTCAGATCACTTATTCTTATATTTCTTATTACTCTGATTCTCCCTTAATTTTAATTCTAACATCTACTTCCCAAAGATAATTTTAAATTCACCTTTTTTATTGTTAGCAGTCACTAATTGGCTAAAAGTTTGGGGTAGTTCTAGCTACCAAATCCAAATTAAAGCCCAAACAGGAGGTTATCTTACTCCTTATGGAGTCTTTTGTTTAACAAGAACTCTTCATAATTGTATCTGAGGTAACCTTCTTCTCTGTCCTCTAGTGCTTCCCACTGCTCTGTTAGTTCTTCACTATCGCAATATAACATAGTATATTTATTGGTGATAGAAAAGCCTGCTACTCGCTTATCAGCATTTTTGCACAGTAACAGGATTAATTCAGTTGGGACCATACCCTCTGGTTTATTCAACAGAATTCCTGAAGTCCATAAATGAAACTATAATTAATAAGCAATGAATCGCTGCCCAGAGTCAGTTTGTGTGAGATGGGCAGCTATATAAATGTGACATATAAATAAATAAAATAGAATTTATTAAAAAAATATTTGAGACAAATGACTTACAAAGCAATCAAATAATCAGTTGATATTCAATACTTACAATTAAGAGGGGTCTTAAGTAGTTAATGGCCTAAAGGTTAACACAAAAATCTTGGACTGCAATGATCAGTGCCCTAGACTGGAAATATAGAGAAAGAAGTAGATACAGCAAGTTTAAGAAAAAGGAGAGGAAGTGGCATTTGCAGATGATGGGTTCATGGGAGAAATGTAAGAACAAGGACATAACAGAGAAAAGGTATTTATTTTTGGATCAATCAGGGAAAAAAATGAAATGAATTACTTACCCTTGTTTGCTCACTTATGTGTGATGGGAGCTGGCTTAGCTTCTTTTGGAGAAAGAAACAGGGACCGGGGAAAAGTTGCTCTGTTCTCCTCTGACTTACTGGAACATTAAGGGCTTTTTTATTCTTTCCTTTGGCAATTTTCTAAATAAAAGAAAGCAAAACCAAGCCCTTACTTCAGGAAATCAATAATACTTTCCAAACAGGAAAAAAAAGAAATGGAAAGATATGCTTTTCTTTCTCCCTCATAGACTGAGGAGGAAGAGTAAAGAGGAAGAGTAAAGAAATTCTTTAGCACAATGAGTACTGAGCAACTGGATCTCTTAATAGGCTGTACTGAAGCAATCAGGTTTGGCATCATCTGCAAGATGTGATAAGCTTTGAAGAGTGGAATTACAGATTAGTCCAATGTCAAGATTTAGTCTGCTCATTCACATTCAACATGAGAAAAATAAGAAAATGTATAGGAATTGCATCTATATAGACCAAGCACCAGAGAGATTGTTGAATGGATAAGGAAAGGCTGTATTTAGAAAGAGATCCTATGAAACTAAAGTTGCAAAAACAGTGATTAATGAAGGCTGGTTAAAGACTTTATTTGCCAAAAGGATTCCAGGCTCCATCCTTTGTTTACCAGAAAGACTCCACAAAAGAGCCACTAGCTTATCACAAGATAGCTGCTGTCTGCGTTTTACCAACAATTAAGGGTGAAGAAACGAAGAGGTGAGGGTATGTTTGCACAACCTTAGACTTATATCTCTGATTAGAAAGGTCAGCCTTCAGCTTCCTTACAGATCATTTTACTCCCTATTACAGCCAGGTATTTTTTTCTGAGGACACCTTGCTTCTCTATTGTACCCTTTACAAGCCACCCTACCTGCCTACTAGCTCTTTTCTACTAGCACACAAGGGAGCCAGTTTTCAGTATAGGAGTGAGCTGTTCGCTGCAACCAGCATGTTTGGCCTTATGATTTAACTGGAGCATTGAGGCAGTACAAACATTGAGCCAATTAGGGTTGCAATTAAGGAAGGGGGCAGCAAATCAGTAAACAGTGTGATAGCAGTTCCTTGTTTTGACTTATTAGAGCATCTGGAAGTTGTCTGGCTGACATCTCCTCCTGCTCTGCCTCTTTAGCTTATTTTTATTACTTTTCTTTGTGCCTTTATTGTTTGTATTTCCCACCTTCATTTGGGCACACTAATTCCTTCTCTCTATATCTTACAGCAGTAAGAATTAGTGTATTAAAATGGGTATCCATACTGTGGCCAGAAACAGTAAACAGATCTCTTAATGAAGTGTACCAACTGATTTATCCAGAATCAGACAGGGCACGATGTTTGAAAATAGTTGTCTTAGCTTATTGCCATCTTTTCCAAGCACTTGGAAATAGTCTAATGATGCTTATTCCTTATGAGAAAGCAGTTAGGACAAAATTTTTGTTGTCTTTTACAGATAGATGAAGAGAGAGAATTGGCTACAATAACACTGCAGAAATTAATACGAGGCAGAGCTATCCAAAACATGGTAAGCTTTGGTTTTTTGCATCCAATAACCTGAAGACAGATCCTGTCAATATTTGCTTCTGTCTCCCAACTGTTTATACTAAACCATCATAACAAGAAAAAATCCACTTCTGTACCCTAACCCATATGAATCATGTCCTTTCAAATTATTTTGAAGGCACAGTAGTCTGTAGTGGGATGCTTAGGTCAACTAAGATATCTCACAAAACCATATCTTATATATATCCCAACCTCCCACAAGAGGAGCTGTGTAAGAACATTATTCAAACAAGTACAAACATACTGCAGCAACCCAGAACACCAGACAAAGGAAACAGACTGCCTATACAATATCTTCCAACAAAATGGATGCCCACACAACTTTATCAAAAAGTGCTTGGCCCACTACAGCACAACCCACTATAGCACTCAACCCAATACAGCACAACCAACACAAGCCATGGAAAGGATAACATTACCATACATCAAAATCTTAAGTAAACCAAAAGACCCAGTAACCCAAGAAGAAAAAGCAGAAGTCATCTACAACATACTATGTAAGGACTGTAACAGCCGCTATGTAGGACAGACAGGAGAAGACTAGCAGAGTGCATCCATGAATACCAACTAGCAGTCAGAAGACATGATGAAAAGTCCTTAATCTCACAACACATGGACAGACTCAACCATAGTTTCAACTGGGAAACTCTGAGCATCCTAGACTAAGCTGAACCCAAAAAATGCTAGGGAATTCCTGGAAGCTTGGCATTCAGACAAATCAGCCATCAGTAGACACA